TAATTAATAGCTAGGCGACAAGTTACTAAGCCAATAATAGTTCACCAAACTCCAGAAATTGCATAACATAACATAATAGACAGCTGTGAATGATTAGTGAAACTTTGGTCAGCACCAACAGACATAAAAAATGAGGTTATTTACGACACGTTGTTACACAGGCAACAGGTAAACATCTAAAAAAAAATGTTATTTTAGACTATTGCAACAACAAAAAATGTATATAATACCAATAAAATGTCCACTGATTTCTCCATATTTCCACTGCAGTTTAATCAGATTCTGAATACTAGGGTTAAGTCAATAAATGAACGTGAAGAGGCATCAAAAAAAAACAGAAGCTTATGTGAAGGATCTGCCATAAAAACCGAGGTCATTAAAAAAAATACGAGGCACCGCATGGCAAAAGAGCCAGATTGAGGTAGTAAATACCTGCTCCTTCCCCCATGCTGAGCTTAATAGAGGTGGCATAAACCCTAATGCCAACTCCTAGCTTTTTTGTAAAGAATTAGACATGCTCCATAACTCTGTCTCATTAAATACAGACCAAATAACAACACCTGACCAAATAATCCACTACAGTTAATTTGTGAAGTGCTCAAAAAGCGCAACGCCTGCATGTGAATTAAATTCTTAAGACATGTAGCAGATTTCAGCTTACTGCAAATGTGTTGTCACTTAAGATTAAAGATATTTGACATAAATGTGTGGCATTATAACACTGCCATATCAGCAGTAATTCCTGGGAAGCGTCGCAGGAGACCCACAGTGTGGTGCATGGTTCATTTGTGTGAATTTGTCAGTTGTGCTGGGTCGCCACACAGCGTCCCAGTTAACTAAAGAATAAGAAATGCTCATTTTCACACCAGAAAATAAAGACTAAATTAAATACATTTACATCAGGGACTTCACATTAAATCACAAACAATGGGGACAGTGTCCTGTAATGTCCCATGCCACACTAATTCATGTAGAGTTATCATAGTATAAGCCCATTTCCACATAAATCTAAATTATGAGATTCTGTACTAAATCAAAACTATTAGAAAAATCATAATTATGCCAAAAATGAACTTTAAGACATGTTGACATTTTCGCTCATAATTATGACTTCCTATCTCATAATTTTGACTTTCATAATTGTGACTTTTTAATTACATGATTATGACTTTCTATGTCATAATTATGATTTGCCAAAGCTATTTCTGTTCGGTGAAGAAAGGGGCAGTTTGTCCAATGTATACAGTATACTGAGAGGCTCTATGGAATATTTGTATTTTTGCAAATATATATTGCTTCACACTACAGGATGAATAATAAACACATATTTTTTCAAGCATTAGCAACTTAGACAGATTTCTGGTGGCAACAGTGCATACTGTAAATGATGGAAGAAATCCTGGAATTACTGTCAGTTTCAACTTCAGCATTGGCATAACTTCAGCATTCAGCATAAATGGCGACAGGTTTGGTGAGGCGAATGCTTTAAAGCTTTCAAGAATCCACTTTGGTGACACGATTGCCTCTGTACAGATTGTGATAAAAACAGAGGCAACCCTGTGGAAAAACAGAGGCCTATTTTCTTGTCCTATTCTCAATTCAAACAATGTTTCAATAATTGTACATGTCCTTTATTGTGCTTCCTCAGCACAGTGTTTTTCCTCAGGTTCTAATCATTTCAGTTGTGTCACCCTTCACTGGAACACCTTTTATGGGCCGACTGAACGTGTACTGACTTGTTTGACGAGTGATGTTGTTACGTGTTTGTTCTGTCTGTGTTTACGTCACTCTGAACAACAGACTTGACAAATTAAACAGTTAAAAATGAAAGCCAGAGTCAGATTGTAGTTCAGCAGTTTTGTGTAAATAAATGTACGTAGTTTTGATTTGTACAGCACAGTGTTGGGTAAAATGTTATATTCTATGCATTTTGCAATAAACAAATATGACAAATATTTGATTGTATCAGGGACATACTGCACTTACAATGGCCACAAAAACAAAATTTCTGTGAACAGAAGGCTCTCACCGAGATGATGACAAACATGTCCTGCGATCAACAACGCCCTCAAGAGGTCAGTCCTCTTCTCAAAGATGATTGTATTTTCTTTTTTAGGCAAAAAGAAATTAAAACACTGTTGATGGCTGCTGTTTAAAAAGTTATAATTACTTACAGTATATATAAAAAAAAACATTAACTGTACCTACTATAAATGAAGTCTACCATATCGTTTAAAATATTATAGTAAAAATATTCAAGTAAATATTTGAGACCCTAATACAGTGTACTCATATTGATAATGATTAATAATTGAATTCCTAAGCATTGACTTGTGGTTTGTTTTGCTGGCCTCTTTAATGAATTGTTTACAAAAAAATGTAAATGTTCCCTACGATTAGGTAATTACACAACTTAGTAATTTGGTCAATTGTTTCTTTATATGTAATATTGAATTAATTTAATATTATTATTTTAAGGCAAGACACTACAGGTGAATAGGGTAAAATAATAAATATAAATACATATCACTGTACTTGCACTAATTCTCAAGTAATATGTGTGTGTGTGTGTGTGTGTGTGTGTGTGTTTTTGTGACAAATGAGGACATAAATTTGTATAATGACAGAGGTATTACAAGGAGAAGGTGACCTTTCAGGACATTACCCCATGTCCCCACTTTTCAAAACGCTTATAAATCACACAGAATGGAGTGTATTGAAAATCTGAAATAGCACAAAGTTTCCTGTAAGGGGTAGGTTTAGGGGTAGGGTTGGTGTAGGGCAATAGAAATATACGGTCTGTACAGTATAAAAACCATTACGCCTATGGGATGTCCCCACTTTTCACAAAAACAAACCTCTGTGTGTGTGTGTATGTGTGTGTGTGTGTACTTCTACTTGAAATCTTGAGGGAATCTTTGATTATACACATGCAAAGATTGCGAGATTAAGTATAATAAACAATTGCATGTGCATTTGTGATGTTTTCTTTCTGCTAGTCTGAAAGAAGACAAGTTATGGAAGCAAAATAGTCCAAAATCTCAAAATTTACCAGTGCATGAAAAAAAAAACTATAGTTTTGGTTTCTGTAGTATCTTGCCTTAATATAAAACATTTAAATAGTATTTAAAAACTTAAATCTGTTGTGTTAAAATGTTTATTTTTCTAAATCTAAAAGAACAGATACATATTCAAAAAATCATAAAAATCACAAAAGCATCTGCTGAATTGCGCTTATATTTCCACAAGCACTTTCTAGAGAGGCATTTCATATGAACAAACCAGAATCTACATGTACATGATCTGTCAGGTTTCTATTGTTATATGGTTCTATTGCAATTTGCAGGCAACAAACATTTATGAAAGCTTCAAAACTCAAGCAGTACCTCTCATTTAGTTAAGTTAAACCAGTTTTTAAAAATCAGCTCTTTTCAAATGGACATTTTGATTATAAACAATGAAAGATGGATGGGCTTTAGGTTTTCTCAAAAAAAGTGAAGCAGGGGGATTTTAGTCCATTTTAGAGGCCGTCTGCCTGAGGCTGAGCAGCGGGACGTCTCCTCAAGTGAAAGGCAAAGTGCAGGCGATTACACTCTTTAGAGAGCGCGAGATGGGATGAGCAAATGTTGTGACGATGCAAGGGGTGCGCTGGGGGATTTTTTTCCCGTTTAAGCACAGATAGTGGCCAGATTTGCACGACCTCCATATCCTAATTAAAAACGGAGCATAAATATTCACGTGGCCCCAAAGTGCCGTTACATTGGTCCACCCTTGTTAGGTGAACAGATGAACTAATAGAGGCTGCTTAAAGCTTGCTGAAAAGATTGCTTTAATCTCTGCATTTTTAAAAAGAAATCCCACCCAACCCTCATGACATCCTCCCAGTGAATAGAGACACGGAGGAGGGTGCAGCCTGGGCCTTGTTCAGTAGATCAATAGAACAGCAGGGGCGAAAGCAGCCCAACACACACACATGCAAGAGGCTCAAATGCTCAAAGCAGCCTCCCCTCAGATGGCCCAAACATATGTTTGTGATCATTTAAATGAAAGGTTGCCATACTAAAACATACAATGTTCATAAATGGCAATGTATCATTTACCAAACAATGTTGCTATGGGTATGAATGAAACGGAGGGAGAGAGAGAGTGACAGCAAATGGATGCTGTTTTTGCTTGACAGTGAGTTGCTTGACATGTCATTCACAAAAGAATTCACCTTTGATTATTAATCACTCAATCAGGACTTTAGGCAGTCATCTGTGGCAATTCTTCAAAACTCTAATCCTATATATAACATTAATATAACGGTAACATGTTACAATTATTAGATAACGCATTTGGTAACATTTTTACATAAATTAATAATCTATTAATATCAATTTATAAAAATACTGTTGTTCATTGGTAATTCATTCCTGTTCCTATTCATGTTCATTTATACTACTTAAATGCTAAATAATAATATATTATAATATAATAATATAAAGTAAAAACAGAAACATTGAGAAATATTTTTACAATTTAAAATAACCGTTTCTATTTTAATACATTTTGAAATGTAATTTATTCCTGTAATTGCAAATCTGAAAAGCATCTCCAGTCTTCATGTGTCCCGTGATCCTTCAGAAATCACCCTTATGCTGATTGAGTGATAAAGTAACATTTCTTATTCTTATCAATATTGAAAATGGTTGTGCTGCTTAATACTATTGTGGAAAAATATATATATACAGTATATATATAAAAAAAAAAATCCCATATTTCTGTGATGATTAGAAGGGTAAAAAAAAAACAGTATTTATTTGAAATAGTTCAATTTAGTAAATATGTTCTGAAACAGAGGAGAAACACCTCTAATAATTTCTGACTGTGTTTATTTAACCAACAAGGTTGAATTGTGCAACTTGCATTACCAAAAAAAATTAACTTAAATGATTTTAGCAAATGGCTGCAATATAACAAAGAGTGAAAAATTTAAGGGGGTCTGAATACTTTCCGTACCCACTGTACATATCTTAATTGACTCACTTCATAACTTTACTTTGCTCAGTATGTTATGATGTGATATGTATGTATTTTTGAACACTTGTCATTTTCTCTTTGCACAAGATCATTTTTTTTTTACATTTTTTGCAACAAAACATTTATTGCCTTTTAATGTCACAATGACACTACAAAAAGACAGTACAGGTATGTGTTCATTTGCATGTTCATTTGCATAAACATGCTTTTGTATTCTTATTGCTATAACAATTAAAAATGGAACAATAGAACAATTTGATTGAAACCTTTTCTGAGGTGAAATAAAATAAAAATTGAACACATGAAGAACACCGGATGAACACATAACAGCCATTAGTCCTGACAGCTCCAAATATCTCAATTCATTCTAAAGCTAAACAATAAATATATCTTATTCAAATGAAGGCGCATCATATTGTTTGATATCAGCAGTTACAGTACCCTGTACTGTAATATAGTCTGAATAATGTGCTTGTACATAAATAGTATGTATGCTTGTTTTATGATTGTTCATCATCACGATACATTCATAACTGATTGCTTACTGTATTAGAGGGACGGGCTTAAAAGGTATGGCTTGTGCTCTTTATGTTTTAAGAGGATGTGTGTCCAAGTAAGGAAAATCTTCATTAGGTCTGCTAAAAACTGGATGAACGATAATGGCAAGAAGTGACAGCAAGCAAGACGGCCTCCTCAGGATCTTGGACAAGCGGTGAACTCAATACACTCGCCATTCTAGAGAACAGACATACAGAGAACAATGTAATGTAAGCACACTTCAAATGCAAAAAAGAAGAACTGTTATGCAATGTTCGATGCGCAAAATGCAGATTGAAGTCACAGTATGTTATTATATGCACAATGCAAAAAAAAGCACAAAAAAAGGGTCAAACGTTGTCCAATCACAGAGACATACAGAGAACAATGTAATGTAAGCACACTTCAAATGCAAAAAAGAAGAACTGTTATGCAATGTTCGATGAAAATGCAGATTGAAGTCACAGTATGTTATTATATGCACAATGCAAAAAAAAGCACAAAAAAAGGGTCAAACGTTGTCCAATCACAGCACAGCACAGCTCAGTGTAAACTACGACTGAACCTGAACAGTTAAACATCAAGTGTGCTCAATGCTATACAGCTCAACACACAATTTACCTCCTCCTCATCCTCCTCAAATACTGGCTGCAAGAAAAAGACGAGGGATTTTTTGTTAACGGCTGTTGATTTTTGGTAACTTCACTTACACACCAATCATGCCACAAAGACTGAACACTTCATGAGCAAATTCCCTTACAAGTCTTCATCACAGCGATGGATGTTTTACTTACAATACAGGGCCATTTACTCACTGAGTATCTCAAGTTAATGAAAGATGCCTTTCAAGCTATAAATTACTGTATGCCAGAACCTGTATTGTTTTTCCATGAGAGATCAACTCACAACCCTTCCATTGAGACATGCACTTCAACATCACTCTGAAGCATGCACATTTTTTAAACAGGATATACTGTGTGTGTGTGTGTGTGGAGAGATTTTTTTCACATGAAATGAAATGACAGATGTATTTTCATTTTACTCTGAGTAAAATGACAAACAGTTTTTACCTCATTACTCTCATCTGTCTGATGCTGAAAAGTGAATAGTGTCAGTAAACAGATCAATTATTAAAAAAAATAAAGCTTAGTTATTCTGTAACATCTTAAAAGTTTATGTTCAGAATACTTCATATTTATCATTCTACCTGATAAACACTACCTATTTATCTGATAAAAACGTAATATTTATCAGTCTGTGAAAAGGTAGGCATATACAGTATATTTCAGTTGACAAAATTAATTTGGGGTGTTGACGTCCATAACTTGCTTTAGTAATGCACATGCTATATAAACAAACTAATATTTCAAACAGCATATTCCTTATGCATGCAGCTTTAATGGAATACATGCACTTCCAAAAACTCACGTCACACCACAGGACCATTTAAAATAAACCACTGATTTCAAAAATGTAAAATTATAAAAAAAAACTCAAATGGAAGTATCAAATGGTTTTGAAATGGTGGTCTAAACATCAAGTAAAAGATAACATCCTTATAACTGTGTGTTTATTTAAATGTATTTTATATATATATATATATATATATATATATATATATATATATATATATATATATATATATATATATATATATACATATACACAGTATATATACATATGCTAGTTAATAACTTTATGTTCCTTACCTGAGTTTGGTATGAAGTAGCCTGCTTTAAAAACTCAACAACCTCCTCACATCCAATGGCACTTGCCTGAAGATGACAACACAAAATGTTTAGCCAATGCAACACTACAACAAAATGTCTTGCAGGTCCATTCATACTGCTATATATGGCATTAATTCTTTATTCCATACAAATCTTTATTAACTCACCACTTCAATGGGCGTCTGTCCATCATAACTACACATGGTCATATCAACCCCAGCTAACTGCCATATCTCCAAACCTTCCAAGTCGCCACTCGCCGCAAGACTGTAAAACACACAGTAGAAGCTCTAAACTGGCAACCATCAACCCAATCATCGCTACAGGAAGTTTATAAACTGAAGACAACCAGTTCCGGCATGTGTTCAATGCACAGAACTGTTCGTCAATTTTAACTTATATAAAAAAAGGTAATAATATATCATAATAAAAACATCTGTGCTATTTATCAAATTTTAGTGCCGGCTAGTTTATAAAAGCTTTGAGAAGAAATGGTTTATTAACCTGCACAACTCCGTTCCAGCATCCTCCATTTCTTCCCGGGAAAAGTGAGCTCCAGTCTTCCTCAGTAGCCTCACAATATCCTTATGCCTACAGACATAGAAACTTTGTTTGACTGACTTCACCTTAGAATTCACCTTTCGTGTTTCACAGAAAAAAGGAAGTCATATTGTTTGGAATGGAGGGTAAGTAAATGCTATCCTAACTATAAATGATTATATGGTGAGTTGCATTTAGCATTGTTTTTTTCCCTGCTGTCTAAACCCCTGTCAAAACAGACTTTTTGGGTCACAACCCATCAGTGTTAAAACCACTGGTCTAGTTTGTCTTAAAGACTTCCCTTATAAACTAAAAGGCAAAACCTTGAAATTATGCCAATCACTTCTTGTGGTCCCAAAAAGTATTTGGACACTTAAATCAGCCTTACCTGAAGCGAACAGCATTGCGAAGAGGTGCATCACCAAAGCGATCCCTGGCATAGACGGTGGCCCCTTTACCCAGCAGATATTCCACCACTTTCAGATGGCCCTCACACGCAGCGATGTGAAGGGGAGTGCGGCCATCATAATCTGCATTGCTCAAGTCAGTGCCCTGTATAGAAAGACATGAATCATGTACTGTATCTTGTTTGGCAACACTGTATTTGTTATTGCAAAACTTGTTTGCATGCTCCTGAACCAATATATTTAAATACAAAAAAGGGGGAATGTAACTGGGACAAGATGCAGGCCTGACTAGAACCTGCATAACCCATGAATACATATACAGTATCTCACAGAAGTGAGTACACCCCTCACAGTTTTTGTAAATATTTTATTATATATTTTCATGTGACATCACTGAAGAAATGACACTTTGCTACAATGTAAAGTAGTGAGTGTACAGCTTGTATAACAGTGTAAATTTGCTGTCCCCTCAAAATAACTCTACACACAGCCATTAATGTCTAAACCGCTGCCCACAAAAGTGAGTACACCCCTAAGTGAAAATGTCCAAATTGGGCCCAATTAGCAATTTTCTCTCCCCGGTGTCATGTGACTCATTAGTGTTACAAGGTCTCAGGTGTGAATTGGGAGCAGGTGTGTTAAATGTGGTGTTATCGCTCTCACTCTCTCATACTGGTCACTGGAAGTTCAACATGGCACCTCATGGCAAAGAACTCTCTGAGGATCTGAAAAAAAAAATTGTTGCTCTACATAAAGATGGCGTAGGCTATAAGAAGATTGCCAAGACCCTGAAACTGAGCTACAGCACGGTGGCCAAGACCATACAGCGGTTTAACAGTACAGGTTCCACTCAGAACTAGAGGTCTGCTACCCGAAAGTATTTCGGGACCCGTCGGGCTCAGGTCGGGTTCGGGTTCGGGTTCGGGTTAATGTTTAATGAATAGCTTCGGGTTCGGGTCAGGCTCGGGTTTATAGCTAAACTAAAACTATATGCAGTAGCCTAGGCTACGCTGCTTTCATAGACGCATGCACACACATTATAGCACACGACAACACAGCACGGAAACTTTTATTAGTAAAATAGCTTCGACAGGCTACTGACTCGCAACTTTATATTTTTCTGCAATGAGGGGGTAAAAATCGCTGTTTTTGAAGTAACTAAGCCTCATTGCTTGTATAGAGATGTGCGCAGACGCAGGTTCACACACGCAACTTTCATCCCTCTCTCTCTCTAATTCAAATAAATGATATAATTAATTCATTCAAATAAATGCGATGATCTTACCGCACTGCATCTCTGTGTCTGATTTAAAGCAGGCCGAATGCTAACGAGCCTTAACTGACGAAAATGACCATAATTTGCATGATGAATTATTGTCTTGTCGTATACAACCATTCAAAAACTCGGCAGAATTTATGTGACTGAGGCACCTGATGTTCATAAAGTGTTTTTTCTTTTGGCTTGTGAACTGGCCGAGCCTTAATGATTCTGTTTCTTTATATGTATTTGTTTACTGACCGTTGCATGCAATCGTGAAATAAATTTTTTTTAATTGGCTATTCGTTGAGGGAAAAAAAAAAAAGATTTTGAGTTCGGGTCGGGTTCGGGCTCTAAATTGAACTGTGCCGC